ATGGATTTTCCTCTTTCCAAATGGGAGGAACGCTTCCTTACTTGAAAGGAGGGGCCACAGACTACTAGTCAACCTAAAAATCCTGTTAGCATTACATCTCAGCACAAATAAAGAATTTGGATCAGTGCCTTGTTAGATCACCTCTATTTCTAGCTCACTGAGTAAAAAGAGCATTTTTTGCAGCCTAGTTTGATAAGTAAAAGGTGTCTTTCTCACCTGCGTGCACTCTGAATTGTCACTCTGGTTCTTTGTTCCTTTGCATGCGGCTGTTGTCAGCTCCCGAGCCACAGAACCACTTGCAGGAATGGCTCGGGAGAGTTTTGGAAGAAAGGAAAGGGAAAAAAGGAGCTGCATTTTTATTTAACAGGAGAAGGAGAACATAAAGAAAAGAAAGGTGTTCTCAAGAACGTAGCCCGCAGCCTTGTCAGGTAGCATTTCTTCAGATGGTTTTTTTTCTCTCCCCTTTCCCACCCTAAGATCTCTCTTCATCATTTTTTTAAACATGTCTTCTGGGACAGGGACATGAAAGTGAATTGTGGGTCAAAGGCAAGAATTAGGGGTTGCCGGGGCTGCTTTCTGATGGCTTTACTTTATCTTTGTGTCCAAGCTTTTGCCAGTCAGCAGGTACCTCGGGTTATCCATTCCAGTCACATCATTTTCTGCTTGATGACAAGCATCACACCTTCATCCATCACATTTACATTTCAAACTGCCACACTGCTCTATTGATTAATTATTTAGCAGCTCTTGGCCACTTGTGAGTGTTTCTGTGCTCACGTTTCATGGGGAAGGTCCGTTCTTTTTATTTATGTGCAGTTTTGTAAAACAAAAAAAATATGTAAAGCCTTTAACATACAGACATCCTAATAACCTGTGTGTGAGTGCCAGTATAGATGCATACGTGTGTACATATTTACGTGTGTGTGTGCGTACACTGGCACAATTAGGTACACACAGAGAGCAGAAGCAGGTAATCTGATCAATAAGCACATGCTCACACTGATAATAGATTTCTGAGTTTTCAGAGCACCGAGCAGCAGATCAATGAGGCCTCGCAGGTGTGCTGGAGCCGGGAATTGGATCAGCTACATCAACGCTCCCCGCAGACTACTGGGGAACAGGCACATTGTCCTCTGGGCTCTGTCACTTTGAGCAAAACCAGGTGGAGGGCTTTTGCAGGTGCCTGATACAGGCGATGTTTCTTCCACACCACAGGCAGGAAAGGGCAGCCTCTGAACGGGACGGGGGATCTGGTTCCACCTAGGGCTCTGCTTGCCCTGGCAAATCACTCCATCCATCTTTTCCTCAGTTCTCCTTCGGTGAAATGGAGAGTGAAGAACTGATCTTACAGTCCTTTTGCATGCTTGATGTTATCTGTGAAGTACCCTAGTTCCACTGTGAGAATAAAAACTATCTGCTCTGACTAGAAATGAAAAATCTAAGTTAGTTTAGAAATCTTTGTTTGGAAGAGCGACGTTTGGACTTGCTTCTGACGCCCGGGGCACTCCTGGGCACTCTGTTACAGGTGGACACTTTTCTGACCCACCACCACCTCCCACCCAGCAGTTCCCATGAGAGCAATGGGTAATCCTTTGGTGTCCCAGGTGACGGTGTGCTCCAGACTACTCTGATGTTCATAACTGCTTGCCCAGAGATATGTGTCTCTAGAAGGAACAGCTGCAAGAAGAAAACAAGACGAAGTATTTGATGATGGGAAGAGGAATGTTTTCAGTAAAGGTTTTGAAAAAAATCTTCTGATGTTCGTGACATCACGTACTTATGTTGGAGCAGGAAATGAGGTCATCTTGAATTCGAAAATAAAGTTAGTACATGGATCTGTTTTAATGTTTTCTACTGTTTTAATTTTTTCAAGTTTATTATGGATATAACCCAACAAATGTAAACAGAGTGATTCTTTTTCCTGCTATTCATTTTCAATAATTCCTGACTTATGCAAAGCCTATTAAAATCAAAGGGAGTATGTACATTAACTTAATAGGCTCTGGATGAGACCCTTGAAGAGGAGGGACCACATGGTTCTTATTGCTCCATCTCTCGCATTTCTGTCTTTATCCTTCAAATTGTAAAATTAAATGTAATACCACTGACTTTTTTAATGGATGGGATTTGTGCCAGTATTGAGCTCATTGTCTGAATGGTGTTAGGCTAGGGTTGGTCAACATTTTTCTGTCAAAATCACTTGTTTTATTATAAAGTACGTTGGGAACTTGTATAAGGCAAGTGAATATCCTATTTATATATTTACAGTAAAATATTACAGTATTCAGATAATAAAACAAAACCATCTGCTTGGTCTATTAGTGATGTTAGTACACTATTTAACACGCAGAGAATAATTAACTGGCTCCTTTCTATGGAGAACACTGAAATATAAAATTAAGTCAGCCTTAGTCCTGACTTGTGGCAGAGGATTTTGTTGTTTGGTCACATATAATATCCATCTCTGACCGCAATTAAAGGGAATATTTAATGTTTGATTTTTGCCATTTCTTCCCCTTTGTGTTCATGTCTCCTCCTGCCTCATCTAGTCCCTTTCTGTCTCTTTTTTAACAGAAACTTCTGTGAAGTGCAAATTTATCTACTGTTATTTTTTTCATCTCTTTCCAAAACTCCTCCACCTCTGGCATTTGGTGCCAGCACTTAATGCTGACAAAGGCCATTTTATGTGGATGGACTTGATGTCAGGCAGACTGAACTCATCAGTTTATGTCTATATTTGGCCATCAGGGCCAGACCTGAAGAAAGGCAAGATGATGGCTCCTGGGTCACATGTGTTCCCTTGCCTTGGGTAAATGAAGGAGTGGAAGATAGAGCAGCTATACCAGACATCCCCCTTATCCCAAGCACAAATACAGGCTGGGCGATGAGTGGATTGAGAACAGCCCTGCGAAGAAGGACTTGGGGCTATTGGTGGATGGAAAATTGGCTATGAACCAGCAATGTGCACTCACAGCCCAGAAAGCCAACCATGTCCTGGGCTGCATGAAAAGAAGAGAGGCCAGGAGGTTGAAGGAGCCGATTCTGCCCTTCTACTCTGCCCTTGCAAGACCCCACCCCACTTGTGTCCAGCTCTGGGACCCCCAGCATAAGAAGGACATGGACCTGCTTGAGTGGGTCCAGAGTGGGCCATGAATATAACTGGGGGCTGAAGCACTTCCCCTATGAGGACAGGCTGAGAGAGTTGGGGTTATTCATCCCAGAGAAGGGAAGACTCCGGGGAGACCTTATAGTGGCCTTCCAGTACTTAAAGGGGGCTACAGGAAAGATGGGGAGGGACTTTTTATCAGGGACAGTAGGGATAGGACACAGGGTAACGGTTTTAAACTGAAAGAAGATAGATTTAGATTATACATAAGGAAGAAATCCTTCCCTATGCGGGGGGTGAGGTGCTGGCCCACGGTGCCCAGAGCAGCTGTGGGTGCCCCCTCCCTGGAAGGGTTCAAGGCCAGGTTGGACGGGGCTGGGAGCAACCTGGGCTGGGGGAAGGGGGCCCTGCCCCGGGCAGGGGGGTGGGACTGGATGGTCTTTAAGGTCCCTTCCAGCCCAAACCGTTCTATGATTCTATGATCTTCTCCAAGGTAGCAGTTTTGCACAGCACCAAAATTTATGCCTGCTAAAGAAGAGCACTGAATCCCTGCTAGTGAGGAAATCGGTTTTCATGCTCAGGGATGTAAGAGAGAAAGGGAATGTAGAGTGGACGTCCATGGAGGGAAGCAACAGCAGTGGGTGGTTGTCTCTGTAAGAAGTCCTGGCCACTCAATTTCCAGTATACTATGAATATACAGAGAAAAAGCTATTTATTTCTGTCTGTTATCCCAAGTGGTTTACACTGATGTACCTTCTGCATGTGAAATGTCATGGAGGCAGTACTGAGTCATAATCACAATAATTAAAACTTCAAGTAAGTTGAAAATCAACACTTTCATGGTTAAACAAAGGTGATGATATCTATTACCTCTACAATTAACAAAGTGTCTTACAAAGTAAAGTGCACAAATCTGAAAGGTGCTGCAATCTGCATGAACACAGAAATGCCCAAATCTGGTTTAAGTACAAAAATGAGGGACAGAAGGTGAACCTTTGACTTCTACAACAGAGTCGTTTCTCTCACATGAGTAACTTCAACAGGAAAATAGCAACACTAGTACTATGGCAATACTTGATAAGATCAAGGACATTATTGTGTAGATCTCTGTGCAATACTGTCCCACTGTAAAGATCTGAATTTAAAAGATGACCAAATGAAGCTCCCCCTCTAATGTTGCCATCATATAGTGTCTGCAAATGTATTTACATGTATTTTAATTTTTTTTCTTTATTTCTTTTGAAATAAAAGTGTTCCTCTTACGTACCTATTCACTCATCGATCCTAAAACTAGTAGCTGATACAGTGTCATAGATGATATGGCAGTAAAGGTCTTCACACTTCTCTTTGTTTTTTGCTTGCTTCATCTCTTCACAGTTAACAGGCTTGCTCTGTATAAAAATAAATAAACATAGTAATTAGTTCATCATAGGTGTGTTTAATTTGCATTGTCACAAATAAAAAGGAAAAATAACACTTCATCTTTTTTAGGCTTAATGAGATCAGGAAAGTATTTTCATAATTGAAAAGAAAGATTCTTTTAAATAAGATCTCTTATTAGGAAATGCGAACAATATAAAGTAAACACCTTCCAGTGAACTATTCTGTAAAATGGCAAACATGATAACAAACAAAAACAATTAGATTATGAGTGGACTCCTTACTTTACAAAGACTAAAATACACAAACATAATAATTATGAGTACTTGACAGAATTACATAAGCTCTATTTCTAAGTTATGACATTTCTGGCTGCTTAATGCTAGCCAGCACATCCTGCTACTGCCAGTAGTAAGAAAGGTCCCAAGAAATCAATGATATGAGAGAATAAAACAACTAGAGCAACAGCTGGTTCTTCATCTTATCTATGGATACAGCATTACTTTACCATTTCAAGACGGAGTAAATACTCAGCTGTTGCTGAGAAGGTGGTCAGTTGCACCATCAAAGTTAGCCGGTTTCCACTTTGGTAACTAGAGTTCATTAAAGATGAACATCCACCTCTTATTGTCAATCTTTTCCTGAAAAAGAATTATTGTTAATCAATTTTGATATAAAGGTCAGAGAAGAAGAATGCTATATCTTCTGCCCAAGCCTGGTCATTCAGTCAACAAAAAGAGCCAGTACAGTATTTTCCAGAGGAATTAAAAAGACAGACAAATAAACAAACAACCAAAGCACGAAATGGCAAGTCATAGATCAAGCTAATAGTGCAGTGCTGCTGTCCGTGGAGAACAACATTCCTGCCTGACTTCCCAGCACATGGAGTACTTGCTCTTACTTTATTAGCCAAGCAGGACTCACTTCTGTCTTCCCAGTGCACCCAGAAGTCCCTGGAATACAGGATTGGTCCCATCTATTATGGTAATAGCATTAACAACTATTCTTTCCAGCCAAGGAACCCTATTTATCAGAGGGTCACCTGTAGCAGCAAATCCCATATGCTGACCACATACAGCATAACTCATTTCTTTTTATTTCCTCTAAATTTGCTATCCTGTGCCATTTAACTTCACTGACTGCCCTCTTGTTTATAAGTAACGTGACAGGAAAAAAAGAAGGTCATGACTTGTGGTTTAATTAATCACACCTAATTAATCACACCTTCAGGAGCCTCAGGTAGGTACAATATTGAGAAACAGACTTCCTTGCTGTGCCTTTTACACCGTAACATTGATCCAGAGAAAAGGGAGAGTGCTCCTGTCCCTCAGGGGTGTAACTCTCAGCCATTGTTTTGCTGGAGAATCACTGCAGGATTGCATGGGGGAGACGCCTTTGGGAAGCAACCATCACGCAGGACTTCACATTTCTAGTGCATTCCTGCCCTTTCTATAGAAATGCTTGAAAAACATGCAAAAGTCATTGATCCATAGGTGCACAAACCCAGCCATTTGCAAAGTCTATATTAACATTAGTCTGGCTAAAATAGATAAGCAATAACATGCCTTGGCTTGTGGGATGAGTTCCTTCTTGGTAACTGCCCTCTACCTGCACAGCAGGAAAAAAAATATGATGGTACCTCTTTTGTTTTCTCCAGACCAAAAAATCTCGAATTGTTTCTTAAAGTGTGACATGTCTCCAACAGAGAAGGGACACCCTGATTCAGAGCATTGTGGCTAAGAGTTGTCCCTGCAAGGTGACAGTGACAAGGTTGACTGACCTGGGGCTGGAAAGAGAACTGACCTGGGGTGTCGTCATGCGTGAAACATTGCCTAAACGACTACTAGCAAGTTAGGTAAAAGATTAATTTACAGCATCAGTGCTATGACCATGATAATGCTGCAAAATACAAGAACGGGGTTATTAATGTATTTGAATTAAATATTGTTAGCATCAGCCTGAGGAGAAAACTCCAGGCCCCCAGCTGGCTAGGGGTAACATCGCTGAAAGAGGTTATGATTACATATACATGCTGGTGTATAGTCTTTATGCTTGAGCCTTTCCTGTCCAGCCATTTTGGTTCCCACTCTGAGGTTTCTACCTTACCCTAAATATCATGTAAAACACAACAAACACAAGTGTCTGCAGTCACTTCTGCTAACTGGTGCTTAGAACCAATGTGCAGTGCTGTGCCTAGACCTTCAGGGAGCTAGTCATTAGTCTCTCTTTCATAACCGTTTTTGGGGACAAAGAAAGACAGACAGGCATCATGGTTAACAGGGGTGCAAGGGGAATGGATGCAAGTTCCTTTTTCCTCTGGTTTACCTATGTCTAGAAAATGGGAGCTCTTGAAAGGACGAAAGTAGTCTAGACCCTTCTGACTCTAGATGTCATCGCTTCGTCTTGAAGCAGAAGGGAAATATCCTGGAGTCCAGTATTCTGATGGGACGGGAGATCTTTTTCCTCCTCAGCCGGAGCTGCGACAGAGCAGTGAGCTGAACTTCACACTCAAAGCAGGGATCCAGTAAGGCAGTGGCTTGATGCTTGCTGGTTATCTTGATTTGGTAGTGCAGCGGAAAATGATTCGTACTTAACTTCACGTAAATGACACAGGCACAGCTACGCAAAAAATCCTACGGGAGCAGCAGCAACTGCATACAGCTTTTAGGCTAAGGATTAGCTGCCTTTAAAGAAGGCTGCCCTCACTAGATTGAGAACTGATTGCAATACCTTCTTGTCTCCTCTTTACCTCAATCGATAATTTTTAGGGTTCAAAATAATCAGGCTGCAATAATTCCTCCACAGGAACAGTCATGAAGTGATGAATTACATACCTCAGTCTGCATAAATATGAAAGAATAAAGGCAAATTTTGAACAAAACTTGCTACACTGAGGCAAAATACATGTCTCTGCAGCTGACAGATATGTGTCTTTGTTGCTCTGCAAAGCTTAATACTTCATGGGAATAAACTTTGGTAGCACAACAGATTTAAAAGCCAAACAAACCATCCAAAAACTCAGTGATATGTGTCCTGTGTGTGCCTTTAAATACTACTAAAATTGAATTTGACTAGACTTGCTCAAATCAGACCTGTTATCAACAACACATTGTCTCAGGAGACCAACATTTGTCCAGTTAGGGCTTCCTTCATTAATCGTCCAGCATCAAGCAAGCCAAATCCAAATCTGTGGAGAAAAAGCAATTAGATATTTTAAGCAGTGATAAGAACACCACAAATAATCAATTTCTATGGCATTAGCAGCTACCTGGCCCAGCAAAAGTCTATAAAAGCTAGAATTTATTGCAGAACACCAGACAGCTTACAGAGCATTGATTCTTAGTTGTATGCATAGATTGCTGGATTTAAAGAGAAATCCCTAATGGTTCTTACCTTTAATTTTTTTTTCTTTTAAAGGGGAAACAAGGATAAGGTGTTCATAAGGCCAAATTGCAGCAAACCAAACGTCTAACGATTGCTAAAGAGAATTTGTTTACCTTTCAGATGAATAGAATACTACCATACCATTTGACAGCAATTATATGTAATCTGATGCATAAACTTCAAAAAAGATGAGAAGCTAAATAAAATCATAGTACTCTATGGTTACAAAAATAATTAAATGTTCTTACTTTTAAAACATTTATTGCACCTGAGAAACAAACAGACTCAAACTACTTTTTTCATTTGTTCAGTTCATGAATCTTTAGGCTTTAAAACCTTCTATTTCTCCACAATGGTCTCATACTGGAATATTTTAATCTGCATTAACCTTTGTGATTTTTAACTACTTATAAAAGCAAAACAAAAGGCAATGCAAAACTTAACGAGCAAAATCCCATTGTCTGCAGTGGGCAACACAATTTTGAAAAATATTTCATCCTATTATTCCCAAAAGACAAGTTCTGTGTGTAGATGTTATAACAGATCATTAAATGGGAACCAAAACATATCCAAACTGAGATTTCTAGGCTCAGAAGTTGAAAAGGACTTTGGCGATTGTCTGACCTTCTATATACGTACACTAAAATCTTTCCCCAGAAGCTAGGTTAAATCATATCTTTCGGAAAGATGTCTAATCTCATTTTAAAGACTCCAAGCTATGGTGAGTCCATCTCCTCCCTGGGAAAGCTGTTCCAGTGTTTAATTACCCTTACTGCTAAGAAATGGTGTCTTATTTCAAGGTCGAATTTGTCTAACTTAGCATTCAAATACTGAAAATGCAGAGTGTTGGAGAGAGAGCAAATATAAGTGACATGATACATTTTATACTAATCCTAAATCAAAAGATTATGGAAATACAGAAAACATGACAACTAAAGCTCTAGTCTGGCAAACATTTATGCAAGGGGGTAGCTTTCTGCATAGAAAATGGTTTCTTTCAGTTCAGCAAGCCTACACACATGTGTAAAGTTATACAAGGTTTTGAAATACAATTTAAAAGAAGGCATTTGGAGTGTTTTTTGTTGTGAAAAGTATTAGGCATTAGCTAATAAAGACAACCACCATCCACCTCTGTCCCTGCTCTGAGCAGCCTTTGAGGTGGGATACCATACATTACTACTAAAAGAAGAAAAAGTGAGAGAACTTCCTACTGCAGAAATCTGATTGCTGCCTTAGGGGGATGACTGCTGAAATCCAAACACAACCCAAGGGGGGAGAAAAGAAAAAAAAAAAAAAAGGAAAGCAAAAAAAAAGAGAGTTGTCAAGATAATTAAAACTTTGCAACAATTCAGTAGTGGTGCTGATAAAAACAGCACTGCTGGCTGAATGCAAATAAGATGGTAAAGGCCCTGTTTGGATTATGGTAATTACTCAGTCTGAAGTTAGCTCCAGCCACACACACATATGAGCACACACATACACACACAGCAGTGGAGTGGAACCTGACAACCATACTTGGCATGTGATCATAAAATTCCCTGGCACGCTCTCAGGGTGCCATGTGGAGCTATTTGTACAGTTAGGTACGGGACTCTGCAGCGCAGGAAATACCAGCGGAAGCACGGCTGACCCGCCTGGCCTTCAGCGAGAGCCTGCCCCCCTGCTTATCGCTGGCCCGGATTCAAAAGTGATCTCTGGAGAAGGCAAATCAATCGAACACATGTTTGGTCTAAAAATGTCATTTTGGAATATGCTAAGATATTTCCTTACATTAGACCGTTTTGTTTGCCCCAAAGATTTGTCAAGTGCAATTGAATGCATACACATCACAACGCGCGCCGGTGCCAGAACAAAATAATTTCAATGTGTCCTTTAGTACTCCGATAAAATGCAGGCAGTCAGTGTTGAAACAAGATGCCCTGTGAAAGTCTTGTGCGCACTGGCATTCTGCATTTCTTCCAGGAACTTGTTTCTTTAAAATTTGGGATCCGTCCAAATGAGCAGATTTTGTGTAAGAATGAAGAAGGGGACCAGCTCAACCTCTCCTCTTGCCTTCTAGACGGAGGAGTTGAGGCAGGCTAATTTATGTGATGAAAAATCATTAAAGAAATTACAATTTCCAACTCTGATTCCTAAATAATAAAGCCTTTACGAGGACAATATCATTACAAATAACCCTATTAATCCGTTGGTTCAGCTTTAGAGCCAATTCTGATATATGACAAAGATATGTTTCTTCAACAATTTTCACAAGTTAATATTAAATAATATTGGCACACACATCATTTTTATTACTAAGTTCTTTGATTTGTTCACCCTGCGCAGTCGCTACAGCTGGGTGTTTTATGACCTACCCGTCACAGGAGAAACTCCCATTAGCACCGGCACACAGCCGAGAAGATGAGAACTTTGCGATCAGCCTTCCCATCCTCATTCTGGTTTTGGTTAGCGCTGGAAAGGCTGTTTCGAGCAGATCAGGATAGGTGCAGCCCGATCACCGTGGCTGAAAGCGCACCCGTACTGTGAAGGGCAAGCTTCCCTGCCTGGCACGTTCAAAGGCTGCGCAGCCTATATCAAATCCAGATTTATACGTGGCTGCGGATGCCAAGAGACAGTCCTCTGGCCAGCAGGCTCCGGGGGGAAGGCACCCACACGTCCCCCCCTTCCCTCCTCTCCCCCCCACCTTCACCCCACACCCTTTTTCTCTCTCTCGGCATCGACCCGGTGTGGTTGCTATAACACACACGCACACACAAGTGCATCAGCCTTGCGACGCCGCGAGGTGCTTGGGTTGCTGTACTTCAGCTGAGACACAAATTAGGTGTGTTTTGACTAGCGGTGTGACCCTTCGGTGGCGTGGTTTTTTTCTCTTTCTGAAGAACACGGCCTTTAGAAGGGTATTGTACGGCTGATAGGCCAAAAATCAAAATTATGAGATGTCTCTTCTGAAATCATCTCGGTGTAGTTTGCACAATGTTTCCTCTGAGATTTTTATCTTGGTTAAAACAAGTAAGTATAAAAAGGGGGGAAAAGGAAAATTAAAAACTGACAAGATCTCAACTCTTACAAATCACCTGACAGTATTAATCCAAGACTTGTGATTGTACAACAGAGGAGAAACAATGGGTTGCAAATACATAATTTCAGTTTAGAGATTCAGTTTGACGGGGTTATTGTCAAAAGGGCGGTCAATACAAACTACATATATGACCTTAACATCATCCCTTCCACTTTCCTGTATTTTATGCATATTTAATCACCTGCAGATACATATGACAAGATGCAAAAGTTGGGCTGTGATCCTAAAGCAATCAAGAATGTTAAGCAGTTCAGAAATGGCACGGCATTACTTTGCCATAAAATAGGAACATTTATGAAGGATATAATAATGTATTATAAAGGGAAAAATAAAAAAAAAATCTGTAAAAGATTGATAGATGTTAAAGGAAGTCTGATGAAAATGTACATTTTTTAGTTCATATTAGACAAAAAGCACTTTATAACTATATAGTGTTGCTGTTGCGATAAATGCAGTATTTGTACTGAATTTCTCAGTTCTTCTCACTACTGAGAGATATGGGATTATGTGCCTTAAAATTGAGGAATAACGATAAGACTTAAAAGACAAATTGAGGACCCACAAGATCTTGAATTTTTGTATTTATTATATATAAATTTCCAGAACGAATAATAAGTTTCTGGACCCTTTAGTGTTTTGTACTGCATAGATTTTTTTTTTTTTTTATTTGTGCGGACAAGTAAATTTTATTTGATAGCTTGTTGTATTTAAAGACAGTGTAAAACTCTCATTGCAAACAGTTGTTTACAGTGCGCTTTTCAGCACAAAGCTGTTTTAAAGCTCAATTGTGCATTTTGCAGATAAAGTGGGAAAACTAACTGAAGGCTGTATTGTAAGCAGTGGTTGCCGTGGAAACCCCAGTTTCAAGAGCTGGTTCTCCATTACCACTTAATTTAGGCTTCCTAATTGCATTCCACTAAATCGGTAGCGACAATATCTGCAGAGCAAAACTGCATGCCCAGTCTAGCGCAAACCTCTTTGAAACAGGCTTTTTGAAAGCCAGGAGCTATAAAAACTCAGCATGACGTGGAGCATATGAGAAACCTGTAGTTCAAATGTACTGCTGCTTGCTTTCTCATCCTTAGTAACTTCAGTGCGCTCCACACCAATCTATTAGTTCAGTCTACCTTAAAGATCATAAAGCTCTGCCATGTGGAAACTCATCTGTCCACCAACACATTGGTGCAAAATAGATTTAATTGTACTCCCAACCCAGTATCATGTCCATCTTATTTTACTACACACCAGCAGGTAGCCGGTGCAGAGCCTTACTTTCCTTGAACTGCCCTTGCTCCATAATACGAGGAGAACAATACTTTCTCAGTTTAAATCATTTGCCACTGTTCAGCTGTGCAGCAAGCCAGACCGCCCATATGTGACCTAAAGAGAGCCTTGTCAGAACCACTAGACATAAAAGCATTCCAATTATCGACCATACTGCTTTAATAGAGGAGGCAACTAATATGATAGTGTAAGTGATTCTGCCACTGAGAAGCTCTTCGTCACTGTCAGATTAACACTTGAGTTAAACTCTTGTAAATCAGTCACATTATGCCGTCGGTTGAGAAATAAACACAGACCCATTACGCTTAGAATTCCAGAGGGCTCTCCCCACCATCCGAGTTGTGCAGGATGCCCTATTAATCTGAATTTTGTCATGTTTATTATTTTGCAATTACTAATGTGGGTAACGTTGGAAAGATTTAAGTTGTCTATGATTAGAT